TCCCAAAGTGCTGGGATTACAGGCATGTGCCACCGTGCCCAGCTGGTCATCCATGATTGTAACGTGTGGGTCTAAAGGCCTCTTTTTCTTTGTTAAGTATTCCTGGTTGAAATTTCCTAAGTGCCTTCCTGACTTCCTAACCTTACCTTCTCTGTTTGGGTTTGTACAACAGTGAATTAAATGTACTTTCCAAAAAGAATTAGCCTAAGGCTGCCCAGTGCTTCCTGTGTTGTTATTTCTGTTTCCTTTGGATGAAAAGAGTAAGTGTCATTGACTCAGAAATGATTATTTTAGAACAAGCATATTTCCAAATGTAACAGAATGATGACTACTATGAGTACTGAAGCTAGTTTCAGAATCCAGAGCTTCTCTTTATATATACTTTTTTTTTTTTTTTTTTGAGATGGAGTCTGGCTCTGTCACCCAGGCTGGAGTGCAGTGGGTGCGATCTTGGCTCACTGCAACCTCTGCCTCCTGGGCTCAAGAGATTCTCCTGCCTCAGCCTCCCGAGTAGCTGGGATTACAGGTGCCTACCACCATGCCTGGCAAATTTTGTATTTTTATTTATTTGTTTTTGAGATGGAGTCTTGGTCTGTTGCCCAGGCTGGAGGGCAGTAGTGTGATCCCTGCTCACTGCAACATCTGCCTCTGGGGCTCAAGCGAGTCTCCCGCCTAAGCCTCCTGAGTAGCTGGGATTATAGGTGTGCACCACCACATCCGGCTAATGTTTGTATTTTTACTAGAGACGGGGTTTCACCAATTCATCATTGGCCAGGATGGTCACGAATTCCTGACCTCAACTGATCCGCCAGCCTGGGCTTCCCAAAGTGCTGGGATTATAGGTGTGAGCCACCAGGCCCAGCACTCTTTAGACTTAATATTTTTAAAATGAGTAGGTTATTACTGTTCTAACAGTTTGGGTTCTTTTTTTTTTAATTGGGTATTATTTAGGAACTTGTGCAACCTCAAAAGAACAGACTGCCAGTGTAGCCTAGATTTTGTTTGTAGGAAGCATAAATGGATAAAATAATAGCTTAATGGCAAATTATTTACAGGACCATTTAAATGCCTAAATTTTATCTAAGGCAGTGGTTGTCAAAGTGTGGTCCCAAGACCAGCAACATCATTATCAGCTAGAAACTTGTTAGAAATGAAAATTGACAGGCCCCACCCCACAGCTGCTGAATCAGAAAATCTGGGAATGGGGACCCATCATCTGGTTTAAGAAGCCTTCCAGGTGACTCTAATTCATGCTCAAGTTTAAGAACAACTGATTTAAGGAGTCACATATTTAGCCTTCTTGCCTAGAAAAAACTTTATAGTAAGGCAGCTCAGTTACTGTATACAGTTAATAGCAAACCTTGGCTGACATACTCAGAAGGTGAAATATCCACCCACACAAAATGAAAATCTACTTTGACCCATTATCCAGGTTAAATGATCTTGGGCGTCTTGGTTTCACTCATGACCACAAATTCCCATGAAAAACTGAAAGAATAGAATCCTGGGGAAAAACTAACAGGATACTTTTTATGTGTACCAAGACGCAAGCAAGGAAATATTCTTACAGAATTTATTCACAGCTGAGACGGGATCAAAATCTTAATTATTAACATTATCATCCTACAGGATGCTAGAATAATACTTAGAATTTGTTATTTTACTTTTGGCTATTTAAAATTTATTCAGCATCAACAGTGTGGGACTGAAGTACTTTATATAACACTGATAACATAATCTTTGCTTCGAGTCTTTTTAAAAAAATTTATTTATTTATTTATTTATTTATTTATTTATTTATTTTTTTCAGACAGGGTCTCATTTTGTTGCCAGAGTGCAGTGGCACCATCATAGCCACTGCAGCCTTGACCTCCCAAGCTCAAGTGATTCTCCTGTCTTGGCCTCCCAAAGTGTTGGGACTACAGGCACATGCCACTATACTCGGCTAATTAAAAACATATTTTTTGTAAAGATGAGGTCTCACTATAGTGCCTGGGCTGGTCTCAAACTCCTGGGCTCAAGCAATCCTTCCACCTTGACCTCCCAAAGTACTGAAATTACAAGCATGAGCTACAGTGCCTGGCCTAAGTCTTAAATTCCTAACATAATGTACATTTTTTGAGCATAATACAATACATGACATCATTAAGAGATTACGTGAACATAGACTGAGACCTTTTATGGTGAAATTTTGTGAGATTCACTATGTTTTATTTATGTCTTGGTAATTGCTGACTAAATGTCTGGATGAAAATAGAGGATCTTATGTAAAATGAGATGAAAAGCTATATGTCAAGCCACATTTGTAATCCTTTAACTCTTGGCTTTGCTAGTCCAAACTCTATGTAACAGAGCCATCTAATGATCACTGGGACCAATTACAAGCAGATTGCCTGGGAATTACTCAATTTTCACAATGATATAATAGAACCATAACGTATGCTCTGCAAATAAGCCATTTAAAAATCATTTCTATTTGGTTTTATAAAACAATATGTTTATGGAAGTATATATTCCTAATTTGTTTTAGTTTGATTAAAACATGCAAGGAGGCAGTCTTAGAAGCTTGTGATTAGGGTTAAGTATATCATTACATAAAAATTAAAAAATCCAGTTAATGTGGCTACCTAAGAATGGTTTGCATGTGAAAAGAAAATGAAGAGGTCAGGAACATGACTGCCTTCCTTGAGGCTGCTAATGTTATAATAAAGCCCCTCCAACACCTTGCATAAAGGAAACACTTTCATTGGCCATATATTTTCTGACACACCAAAAATTGCTCACAGAAAGCACCGTTTAGAAAATTTTGCAGCCTTTAAACAAAATGTCCATTGTAAATTATTCTTTAGCAGTGTCCCCAATAAGAACTTGGGAGGAAAAAGTTTCACAATTGATTTCATTTTAGTATAGTAATTGGATTTTCCAATGACTCATACAGAATTGGCATGATTCTTTGGAGAGATCACAGTGATGATGTGTAACTATCACTTTGGTGGCCAATGGAAATACTTTGTTAAGAAATTGGAAAAAAATGTTGATGGGTGTGTGCTGGACTTTGCTTTTCCTGACCCTTACACTCACCATTGTGACAGAGATTGCTGATTGTGTCCAGTATGTTTTCTCCTTCTCACATAATATTAGAACTTCTGCTGTTTAGTTGGGCACATGGTTGCCCAGAATAAATATTATTCTCTTATTATTAATAAGAAAATTTAGTAAAGTTGCTGGATACAAAGTTAGCATGCAAAAATCTTGTAGCTACATGTGCCATGTCCATCTCATAGACAATGAGATGTAAATGAAAGAGGTGTATGCAACTTCCAATAAATGATGTTTAAGGGAAGGAACATACTTTCCTCCATTTCCTTCATCTTGTAGGCTGGAATGCAGAGTTAATACCTAGAAGTTAAGTAGCTCTCATAGCTCAGTATGTGACCTTGGGGATTGCATTATTTTATTTATTTTTATTTTGTTTTTAAGGCGGTGAGGTCTTGCTATGTTGCCCAGGTTGGACTTGAACTTCTGGGTTCAAGCAATGCTCCCACCTCAACCTCCCCAAGTAGCTGGGACTACAGGTGCATGCCACCACGCCCAGTGGGGATTGTATTAGTTATCTGTTGTTGCTTAAGAAATTACTCCACAATTTAGTAGCTTAAAACAACAAACATTATCTTGCTGTTTCTGTGGTCAGGAATTTAGGAATGGCTTAGCTGGGTGGTTCTGGCTCAGAGACTCTCATGAGGTTGGAGTCAAACTGTTGGCCAGGGCTGTAGTCGGCTGAAGGCTAAAAAGGGCTGGATAATCCTTTTCTAAGATGGCTTACTCACATGGCTGTTGGCAGGAGGCATCAATTCCATGCTGGCTATTGGCAATAGGCCTTAGTTCCTCACCACTTGGACATCGCTATAGGACTGCTTGAGTGTCCGCATGACTTGTCAACTAGTTTCTCCCAGAGGGAGTAATCCAAGAGAGAATAGGGAGGAAGCCACAATTTTTTTTTATGACTTAGTTTTGTAAGTGTCACACCATAATTTCTGTCATAAACTATTCAATAGAAGTAGCTCACTAAATCCAGCCAACATTCAAGAGGAGGGGAATAGATGCCACCTCTTGAAGGGAGGAGCATTGTGTACAGATCATTTCCCCCCCAAAGACAGCCACATCCCCATCTCCAGAACCTGTGAATATGTTACCTTACATGGAACAAACAACTTTGTTGACATAATTAATGATCTTTAGATGAGGCAATCATCCTGGATTATCTGGGGAGGCTCAATGTAATCTCAAGTGTCCTTACAAGAGGGGGTCAGGCTAGGCGTGGTCGCTCATGCCTGTAATCCCAGGACTTTGGGAGGCTGAGATGGTTGGATCACTTGAGGCCATGAGTTTGAGACCAGCCTGGCCAACATGGCGAAACCCTGTCTCTACTAAAAATACAAAAAAATTAGCTGGGTGTGGTGGCACGCACCTGTAATCCCAACTACTTGTGAGGTCCAGGCATGAGAATCGCTTGAACCCAGGAGGCAAAGGTTACAGTGAGCCAAGATTGCACCACAACACTCCAGCCTGGATGGCAGAGTAATACTCTGTCTCAAAACAAACAAACAAACAAATAAATAAATAAATAAATAAAAGAGGGAGTTAGGAGGGCCAGAGTGAGAGTGAATGGAAGTGGGTCAGACTGGTATGGCCATAAGTCAAGGAATATATACAGCCCACAGAAGTTGGAAAAGGCAAAGAATGGATTCTCCTCCACAGCCTCAATAAGGAATGTAGCCTTTGATTTTAACGCTGTAAGGCTCATTTTACACTTCCGGCCTCCAGAAATTTGGGATAATAAATTTGTGCTATTTAAGCCACTAAGTTTGTGGTAATTTGTTACCACAGCATAGGAAATTAGTACAAATATCAAAGTGTTTGCGGACATATTTTAAGACCACCCCAGGCCACCCTCTGGTAACAAATTATTTATAGTTCTCCCACATGCAAAATAAACTTACCCCTTCTAAGGCCCCAGAGTGTTATCCCATTATAGCATCAATTCAAAGTTCAGAATCTTATCCTCTATATAAGTCCAGGGAAGATGAGACTTCTTGGTTGTAATTCCTTAAATATAGCTACTCAGGTATATGCCTTTCAATCTGAAGTTCTGCAAACAAAAAGAAAAAGGTCATATGCTCCTTTCCCCACAGCAACCAATGTAAAATGGCAGGGGCAGAGAGATAACTGCTATAGACACTCCTGTACCAACAGGTGGAAAACAAGGTGCACAGAAGTCACTGGTTCATAGCAATTCTGAAATCCATTTGAGTATAGGTTTGTAGTTCTACATTCAAAGTCTGGGAATAACTCCCTATGGCTTTTGGTTCCATCCTCTGGGCTGTTGGTTTCATCCTCTAAGTCATCCTTTTTTTGTGTGAAAGGGAGATGTGTTTGGACATAAATAGTTTTCTTAGCCTGCTTCCTGTTTGTAGAAATGTGTTTGTAGAAAGGGTCCAAAGACCCCTTTCTTTTTTTGTACTCTCTTTCAGGTCAAGCTGACAGTATTTCTGACAATACAATTCTCTTAAAACGATTTTTGAATCTACTGTGAATCTTACTGGGTTTTAGTCCAGGAGACAAAAGTCATGGCAGCAAATACCTTTGAGATACATCTTTTTCTACCTTGGGCTTCTGCTGAAGGACAAAGATCTTAAGTTTCTTAGAAGTTCTGTTGTTTGAATGAGAGGACCTGTGAGCCATATTCTTAAAATCTTTTTTTCTGAGACGGAGTCTTACTCTGTCACCCAGGCTGGAGTGCAGTGGCGAGATCTTGGGTCACCACAATCTCTGCCTTCCGGGTTCAAGCAATTCTCCTGCCTCAGCCTCCCGAGTAGCTGGTATTACAGGCACCTGCCACCACGCTCGGCTAATTTTTGTTTGTGTTTTTGTAGAGATGAGGTTTCACCATGTTGGCCAGGCTGGTCTCCAACTCTTGACCTCGGGTGATCCACCCGCCTTGGCCTCTCAAACTGTTGGGATTACAGGCGTGAGCCACCGCACCCAACCACTCTTAAAATTTTTAGAGGGTCTTTTGCCTGATTGAACAGTACTCTGAGGTACCACCCGTAAACACAACAGGCATGGGGAGTGGGAAAGTGGGGGATGGAGGGTGGATTGAGGGGTATTTACAAAAATAAAAGACATGGTCTCAGCACTCAGATGTTTTAGAATCTTTGGGGAGACAAACTATATACATTTAAAAAGCACTAAAGAATTACAGGTCATATCCCTAATGAGTATAGATACAAAAATCCTCAACAAAATACTAGCATACTGACTTCAACAATATATTCAAAGAATAATTCACCATGATCAAGTGGGATTTATCCCTGGGATGCAAAGATGGTTCAACATATGGGAATCTATAAATGTGATATACCACATACACAAAAATCATATGATCATTTCAATAGATACCTAAAAAGCATTTGACAAAATTAAACATCTTTTCATGATGAAAATTCTCAACAAATTAGGTACAGAAGAAACGTACTTCAACACAATAAAGGTCATATATGACAAGCCTACAGCTAACATTCTCAACAGTGAAATGTTGAAGGCATTTCCTTTAAGATCAGGAACAAGAAAAGGATGCCCACTCTCACTGCTTTTTTTTTTTTTTTTCAACATAGCACTGGAAGTTCTAGTCAGAATAATTAAGCAAGAGAAATAAAAGTCATCTTAATAGGAAAGGAAATGTTGGAATTTTCTCTTTGTCGACAATATGATCTTATATATAGAAAACCCAAAAGACTCAACCAAAAAAAAAAAAAACTGTTAGAACTAATACATTCAGTAAATTGCTGTACACAGTCAACACACAAAAATCAGCAACATTTCAGCAACAACAAATCCAAAAAAGAAATGAAGAAAATAATTCTACTTACATGAGCAAAAACCAAAACTGAAACAAAAAAGGTATACATTTAACCAAGAAAGTGAAAGATCTTTACACTAAAAACTAAAAAACACGGATGAAAGAAATTAGAAAAAACACAAATAAATGAAAAGACATCCCATGTTCTTGGATTGGAATAATTAATATAATTAAAATGCCCATGCTACTCAAAGTGATTGATAGATTCAATACAATTCCTATCAAAATTCCAGAGTTATTTTTCATGGAAATAAAAAAATCCTAAAATTCATATGGAACCGTAAAAGATCCCAAATAACCAAAGCAATCTTGAGCAAAAAGAACAAATCTGGGCCAGGCGCGGTGGCTCATGCCTGTAATCCCAGTACTTTGGGAGGCCGAGGTAGGCAGATCACGAGGTCAGGAGTTCAAGACCAGCCTGGCCAACATGGTAAAAAACCCTGTCTCTACTAATAATACAAAAAAATTAGCTAGGTGCACACCTCTAGTCCCAGCTACTTGGGAGGCTGAGGCAGGAGAATCACTTGAACCCAGGAGGTGGAGGTTGCAGTGAGCTGAGATTGCGCCACTGCATTCCAGCCTGAGAGACAGAGCCAGACTCCATCTCAAAAAAAAAAAAAAAGAAAAAAAAAAAAAAAGAACAAAGCTGAAGGCATCATAGTACCTGACTTTAAAATAAACAACAAAGTTACAGTAATCAAAACAGCATGGTATGCAATAAAAACAGATACATTGGCCAATATAACATACTAGAGAGTCCAGAATTTACAGACAATTGAATTTTGATAAGGAGCCAAGAACACTCAATGGGGAAAGGAATCTCTTTGATAAACACTGTTGGGAAACCATATATCCATGTGTAGAAAAATGAAATTGGACCCTTATCTCACACCATACACAAAAGTCAAAATGGATTAAAGACTTACATGTAAGACTGGAACTACTAGAAGAAAACATAGTGGGAAAGCTACTAGAAGAAAAAATAGAAGAAAGCCACTAGAAGCAAACATAGGGGGAAAGCTCCACTACATTGGTCTGGGCATTTTTTTTGGACGTGACCTCAAAAACACAGGTGAGAAAATAATAAATAAACACATAGGATTACATGAAACTAAAAACTTCTGCACATCAAAGGAAACAGTTAACATAGTGAAGAGACAACCCACTGAATGGGAGAAAATATTTACAAATCATACATCTGACAAGGGGTTAATATCCAAGATATACAAGAAACTCAGTAGCAAGAAAGCAAATAACCTAATTTTAAAAATAGGCAAATAATCTGAACAGACTTTTTTTTTAAAATTTTTTATTTTTTTTGTAGAGATGAGCCTCACTATGTTGCCCAGGCTGGTCTCAGACTCTTGGGCTCGAGCAGTTCTCCTACCTTGGCCTCCCAAAGTGCTGAGATTATGGGTGTGAGCCACCATGCCAGCCTGACACAGCCATTCTTAAAAGAAGACATACAAATGGCCAACAGGTTTGTGGAAAAAAAAAATCACTATTATTAGGGAAATGCAAAATAAAATTACAATATCGCCTCACACCTGTTAGTATGGCTATTAAGCTGGGTGTGGTGGCTCACACCTATAATCTCAGTACTTCGGGAAGCTGAGGTGGGCAGATTACTTGAGGGTCAGGAGTTTGAGACCAGCCTGGCCAACATGGTGAAACCCCATCTCTACTAAAAATACAGAAATTAGCCAAGTGTGGTGGCACATGCTTGTAATCCAAGCTACTTGGGAGGCTGAGGCAGGAAGATCGCTTGAACCCAGGAATAGAGGTTGCAGTGATCTGAGATTGCGCCACTGCACTCCAGCCTGGGCAACAAAGTGACTCTTTAGAAAAAAAAATGGTTATTATCAAAATGATGAAAAATAATGTGTTGGTGAGGACGTGGAGAAAACTTTTACACTGTTGGTATTATTACAGCCATTATGGAAAACTATATGGAGGTTTCCCAAAAAATTAAAAATAGAACTATCATATGATCCAGCGACACTATTTCTGGACATATATTGAGTAACTGAAATCAGTATATCAAAGACTTATTTGCACTTCCATGTTCATCTCAGCATTATGCACAATCGCTGAGATAATGGAATCAACCTGTGTCCACCAATGGATGAATGGATAAAGAAAATGTGGTAAACATATACAATGGATACTATTCAGCCTTAAAAAAGAATTTCTGTCATTTGTGACAACATGAATGAACTTGGAGGACATACTAAGTGAAAAAAGCCAGGCACAGAAAGACACATACCACATGATCTCACTTATATGTGGAATCTTAAAACGTCAAACTCATATAAGTAGACAGTAGAATAGTGCTTAGAGGCTGGGAAGGGACGGGGCAGGTCGGAGATGGAGGATGGGGAGATGCTGTTCAAAGGGTACAAGGTTCAGTCAGACAAAAGCAGCAAGTTTCTGAGATCTATTGCATAGTGTGGTGACCATAGCTAATAATAATATATCGTATATCTCAAAACTGCTAAGAGTAAATTTCAAATGTCTCACCATAAAAAACGTTAAATGAGGTGATGGGTATGTTAAGCTTGACTTAGTCATTTCATATTACATACATATATTAAAATATCACATTGTACCCCATTAAATATTTACAATTATGATTTGTCTATATATTTAATAATAAATAAAAATCAAAATAAAATATTAAAGAATGCCTACAAAGCAAGGTTTAAGATATAAATGAACACAGTAGTATCACGGAAGGGATTAAATATTGTAATATTTATTGAGCACTACGTATATATTTTTGAACTCCCACAACCCTGGAAGAATGAGAAAATCGAAACTCAGCATAAATATTTTGCCCAACTGCATACAATAAATACATAGGAAAAACAAACACAGAATAAAACCAAACCCACCAAATTATCTCTTTCAAAAGGAAACGACAGTCTCCTAAAAGGCAACCCGAGACAAATTTCAGCAAAGCCGTGGGACACATGGCCTTCGAGCTGCTGTCCATTATTGAGTAGCAGAAGCCAGGAAGGATGGAATGTTTTAGAAGAAAGGGGTCGGGGGTCGGGGTGTTCAAAGGATGGACTGAAGATAAAATTGAACTGGGGGTCAGACCATGGCGGGATAGCGCACCGGAGAATGAACAGCGGTTAGGGAAGAGTGGCGAGCGGGTGGCAAGGACGGAGGGCGGAGTCGAGGCCGGGCTCCGGGAGGAAAGCGCACGGACAGGAGCCCCCGCCGCTCGAGTGCAGCGCCCGGCGGCCAGCCTCGTGAGGTCACAGGCCCTTATGAGGTGGGGCAGGCGGGCGCGGCCGCAGCGCCTTTCAGTCGGCGAGGAGGCGGTGTTGAGTTCAGCCGCTCCCTCACGGCCCCGGAGCCCCTGGGCGGTAGCGGTGGCCGTGACAGCACCGGCTCCACGGCCGCTAGGGTCCAGTGCCCGCTCCGACCGGGGCGCTCGGTGGGCGGAGCGTCGGGCTCGGTCAGGTGACCGCGGGGGCGGGGCCGCGCTGCGCGGGAGCCTGAGAAGGCTGCGGAGCGAGAGCCGCGCCTCCGGAGGGGACCCAGGGGCTGACCGCAGAGAGCGCGGGGGCCTGGAGACAAGAGGGAGGGAGGGCAGCTTGGGCCGGTAGTGGGACCCTCGGGGGACAGAGGTGGGGAGGGGAGGCGAGACCCCTTGAGGAGTTGGGAGGGGAGCCTTCGAGGTGGAGAGTGGAGAATGCAGTAGGGTGCGAGGGAGGAAGGCGAACAGTGGTGGGGCTGGGTGAAGGAAGGTTCCCGAAAGGAACCGTGAGGGGACCGAGTGGGACAAAGGAGCAGAGTGAAGGGTGACTGGGACTGATCAGGTGGTTCCTCAGAAATGGTGGTCGTTGTAGAAGGCTGGCGGTCCCGGGTGTTGGTTCACTTCCCTGCTCCTTCAGCGTGAGGCAGAGACCTCTATTAGGGCACCCATTTCCATCCTGCGGGTCGTTCGCGCACTAGCTTACAGGTCCTCTTTCTTCCCGTAGAAGTCGTTGGCTTCATAAGGCCAGGGTCTATGGGAAGCCACCTCAGCGCGGGTTCTTGGAAGAGGTGGAGGTTCATTCAACGTTTGTTACACAAATACGAAAACAGGGTGATGAGTGTTTGAACGTTCGTGAATGGCAGTGGCTGCGATGGAGTTGTGTATGCAGTTGGTGTTAATGACGTTTTCAGTCCCTCTAGCGAGGGAAAAGCGAGCGAGTGGGGCGGCTTGTGAGGGAAATGTGGCATGAAAGAGGAAAGTATTTTGTGAAGGGATGTCATACAGAGTCACACTTCAGTGAAGCCGCCTTTGTTTTTCTCATCTTAAACCGTCACAGCCCCATTTTCCCCCTCAGTTACTACCTTATTTCTCTTAATAGCAGAACTCTCTCTCTCTCTATATATATTTGTTGTTGTTGTTCATTGCTGTATTCCTAGAGCCTGGGAGAGAACCTAGTTCATACTAAGCATGCAGACATATACGTTGAATTCATGGATAGAAAGGTGAATGGATAGATGACTGGAGAAGAGGGATACGACTTCCTCCATTTCTCTTGATTTGTTCCTGCAAATTCACAGATAGAAGATAGGATTGAAACAGCTGAGAAACAATTATATTGTCAGAGTTACAGGGAATAGACTTTCTAAGTTAATTTTTTCTTTTAAGTTTGGAGAGGCTTATGCGGTACCTGATTCATCCAGCAAATTAAGACCTGCCAACTTTTTTATAATCTGGTCAATAAATTACAGAACAATTGTTCCTTTCAAGATTTATTCAAAACGTATCAACTCTGCTTAATTAAGCACTCCGATGATTTAAGAACTCTTGGTGAGCGGCCGGGCGCAGTGGCTCACGCCTGTAATCCCAGCACTTTGGAAGGCTGAGACGGGCGGATCACGAGGTCAAGAGATCGAGACCATCCCGGCTAACACAGTGAAACCCCGTCTCTACTAAAAATATAAAAAAATTAGCCGGCTGTGGTGGCGGGTGCCTGTAGTCCCAGCTACTCGGGAGGCTGAGGCAGGAGGATGGCATGAACCCGGGAGGCAGAGCTTGCAGTGAGCCGAGATCAAGCCACTGCACTCCAGCCTGGGCGACAGAGCGAGACTCCGTCTCAAAAAAACCCCCAAAAAACAAAAAACAAGAACTCTTGATGAGTAGCTTAGTAGGAAGGGAATTAGTTCATTCATCCCTCTCTCCCTCTCTTTTCCCCTCCCTCCATCCCTTCCCTCCTTTCCTTTACTCTTTCCTTCATTGTATATATACCATTGTATTTGATACTATGAGAAATAATTTTAAGAATGATAAGTTACCAGTCCCAGTTCTTTATAAATTTGGCTATAGTTGGTATAGGAGCTATACATATGAAAATTAAATACAAGGCAAATGATTACTGTCAGTTAAATAGTGAAGACAAGAATAGTGAAGACATTAAGTGCTGTGCACAGTAGTTTAGGGGTAAAGATTCAACTGGTTGGAGAAGATCTAGAAGAGATTACATAGGATGGGTTACTGGGGAGACCTGCATTTTTTTTTTTTTTTTTGAGACGGAGTCTTGCTCTGTCACCCAGGCTGGAGTGCAGTGGCCGGATCTCAGCTCACTGCAAGCTCCGCCTCCCGGGTTTACGCCATTCTCCTGCCTCAGCCTCCCGAGTAGCTGGGACTACAGGCGCCCGCCACCTCGCCCGGCTATTTTTTTTGTATTTTTTAGTAGAGACGGGGTTTCACCGTGTTAGCCGGGATCGTCTCTCGATCTCCTGACCTCGTGATCCGCCTTTTTTGTATTTTTTAGTAGAGACGGGGTTTCACCGTGTTAGCCGGGATCGTCTCTCGATCTCCTGACCTCGTGATCCGCCCGTCTCGGCCTCCCAAAGTGCTGGGATTACAGGCTTGAGCCACTGCGCCCGGCCTGAGACCTGCATGTTTTTCAGATATTTTCTGAGATGGGTAGTTTCAATGTGCTTCTATTTTATTTTAACATATTTTGAATTCCAGGAATGTTGGACATATCACATTGAAAAATGACTATTAACATACGTCAGAAATAAATAAAAATGATTTTAAGTACTCTGTCTTCGTTAGAATATTAATACTTGCAGCTAAACTTTACAAGAAAAAGACATGATTATAACTAGCAGTGTAATATAATGTAATATGGCTGGCACTGTGATAAATTAGCTCATCCAATGTAACTCAGATGTGAGTTGAAAATGTGAAAATTTGAGGAATTTCTAAGTGTTGGTTATCACTTTTGCATAATGTGTTAGTCTTTGGTTTGAAGTGAGGCTACACCATCTTTTCTTTCTTTTTGTTTTTGATTCAGTCTTGCACCCAGGTTGGAGTGCAGTGGTGTGATCTTGGCCCACTGCAATCTCTACCTCCCGGCTTCAAGCAGTTCTGTGCCTCAGCCTCCTGAGTAGCTGGGATTATAGGCGCGTGCCACCACACTCGGCTAATTTTTGTATTTTTAGTGGAGATGGGGTTTCATCATCTTGGCCAGGCTGGTCTTGAACTCCTGACCTCGTGATCCATCTCCCTTGGCCTCCCAAAGTGCTGGGATTACAGGTGTGAGTCACCATGCCTGGCTTTTTTTTTTTTTTTGAGATGGTCTTGCTGTATATCCCAGGCTGGAGTGCAGGGGTGCGATCTTGGCTCACTGCAATCTCCAGCTCCCGGATACAAGCGATTCTCCTGCCTCAGCCTCCTGAGTAGCTGGGATTACAGGCGCATGTCACCACCCCCAACTAATTGATTTGTATTTTTATTAGTGACAGAGTTTCACCATGTTGGCCAGGATGGTCTCGATTTCTTGACCTCGTGATCCGCCCGCCTCAGCCTCCCAAAGTGCTGGGATTACAGACGTGAGCCACCGCACCTGGCCTACAACATCTTTTGTTTGCAGTAGCATTGTTTTGAGAGGCAATGTTCTATGGGACTGAAGACCACAGGCTTGGAGTTAAATTGTCTGAATTCAAATTCTGTCTCCACTATTTGCTGGCTGTGTGATCTTGGGAAACTTGATCTCTTCAAGTCTTTATCATATTTAGCACACAGTGAGCATGCAGTAACATGAGTGATTACTACTGTCTTAGCAGTTCTGCTTCTCAGGGTTTATTTAAATAAACAGATGTACTTGGATTTCTTTGCTTTGTATGCCATTTGAAACTGGATTTCTCCTCATACCACAAAAGATAAAGTTAAGGAACTGGATGATCTGTGATTTATAGTCTACTAACTGCTTTTTCTAGTGTTTGCCCACATATCTGTGTTGGTGAAATACTGTGTATCATACCCTAAGTCAGTGTTACATTGAAGAGATAACTTCAGGTAGGTAAATATAATTGCTTAAGTGTCCTAAACAAGCATATGATTTTTTCTTTCTCTTTTTTTTTGGCAGGAAATCCTTTTGTACTATTGCTCATTCATACTTGTTCATCAAAGCCTGGATTCTTTAAGGACAGAATTTACCTCTAAACAGAAAGATGGAAACTAACATACATTTATTCTGCCAGGTATTTAAAACAGTTTCTAAAGATTTCTTCTTTTTAAAATTAGTTTATATTACCTCATATTCATGATCAGTAAGCAAATTCATAGAGTAATAGTTATAAGGAACTGGCTGAATAACTGAGATGACTTTTGAGTCATTTTAGTGAACATATATTGAACTCCCATCCCAACAACCCATATAATACTGAGAGATCTTCTGTGGTGTACAATGAGAGTATTTTGGTGGATAAGTTTTGTGGAGATCAAAAGGGTTAAACTTACATGAGAGGTTGTAGATAATGTAATTAATGATGTGAGAGTATAACCAAAAAATAATGTAGAGGACATCAAATTTCTAGATTAGCCATCTTATCTGTGCTTCAGATTTTTATGCCCTTCTGTCTTTTTAGATGCCTCCGCCTCTTTTTTTTTTTTTTTTGCTAGTATTCTGTCAAATAAGACAAATTTTTTCAAATAAAAACAAATCTGGACTTAGTAAGCAGAGACTTTATTCAAAATAATTATTGCAAGGGAAGAAAGGGACTATTGAAATTGGAAGAGGAGGAGGACTATTGCAATGGGAAGAATGCTGTGACTCTAAGATCTGCAGGTGTCTCAAGGGTTGGGCAGGAGTTTTCTTTTATAGAGAGAGGCTGGAAAGAACCAGGTGTGGGGAAACGGGATGAAACAGTAGAATGATTATATAAGTAAATTGGAGAGTATTTTATCATGAAGTCAGTCTATTTTGTTCTGATTATCAGTGGGGATAAAACAATTCAGCTAATAATTTATGATGCAAAGAAAGGGAATTTTGAGGGCGTGTGTCTTGCATTGTCATAAGTAAACAAGGGGGGCATTCCAGAGTCTTACCTAAGTCATATGGGGAGGGGTGGTTTACAGTAAGCCATTTTCCAGAACACAAAAGGGTGGGGGGATTCCTTTAACCCTCACTGTTTTCTGGGAGTTTAGGGCTCAAGTGAAATTCAGCATTGTCAATTGAGAGTCCTAATCTTTTAAATTTATCCTTGTAGAAGATCTGACGCTACTGTGTAAAACATATACCTATAATATAGTCTGAAAAATAATCTCAGAGACTTGAAAAGTGCTGAGATATGTACTTTATATCACATATATACACATATATACATTTAAAGTTTACCTTTTTATACTTACTACTTTGTTGATTTTGCCCTTATAAAATGATTTTGAAGATGAATTCTTAAAAATTAATATTAAAGTATCATACCAGTTTGTTTTCCTTAGACTGTGTAATTTATACTTCCCAGATGGCTTACCTTTTACTACAGTGTTTCCAAGATTCTTTTCTTCTTCTGTGTCAAAACCTTCTCCTCACTCTTCGTGTTCATTCACTTGGCCTTTGGTAACAGGTTTTTCTGTCTTTTTAGATTTCCTACCCCTTTTCCCCCTCTGCTTTCTATTTTGGGTCATTTTTTTCAATCTCTTTAGGAATCCGTTCATCATTTGTAATACACATCTCATCAAGGCAGCAAATCGAATTGCCTTTTTGAAACAATCTAAAGGTATGCCTTTGTTATAAGACAAATGATGCAGAGTCTAAAAGTCACTGAAATAGTTCTGCTAATTTCCATCCTGTGGAAATAGAGATTCTCTCTAAACTTTCTTGGTAATCTTTATAAATTGTCTGTGTGATCTTCAGGGTCAACTTTGGGTTCAGAGGCTCAGGACTAATACACCTTTGATCGACTGGATGCTGCCAGGTGTCTTAAGCAAACAGCCAAATTTCAGGAGAGAATATTTCCAACTGCATTCCTCTTTTTCTAAACATGTTTATTGTCACCAAGTGGTGAAGTCTGGGCTTTTAGTGTACCTGTTACCTGAATAGTATATGTTGTACCCAACAGGTAGTTTTTCATCCTTCACTTCCCTGCCCCCTCTCCACTTCTGAATCTCTATCACTCTATATGCCTTTTTGGATCCATAGCTTAGCTCCCATTTATAAATGAGAATATGTGGCATTTGTTTTTTTGTTCCTGAGTTACTTCACTTAGGATAATGGCCTCCAGTTTCATCCAAGTTGCTGCAAAAGACATTATTTTGTTCTTTTTTATGGATGAGTAGTATTCCATAGTATATATACCACATTTTCTTTAACCTCTCATCAGTTGATGGACACTTAGGTTGGTTCCATACCTTTGGTATTGTGAATTGTGCTGAGATAAACATATATGTTAGGTGTTTTTGTTTTTGTTTTTTTCTGATACAATGACTTTTTTTTTCCCTTTGGGTAGGTACCCAGTAGTGGGATTGCTGGATTGAATGATAGATCATCCTTTATTTATTTGAGAAATCTCCATATTGTTTTCTGTGGAAATTATACTAATTTACATTCCCACTAGCAGCATATAAATTTTCCCTTTTCATTCCATCTGCACCAACATCTATTGTTTTTTGACTTGTTAATAATGGCCATTCTGGCTGGGGTAAGGTGATATCTCACTGTGGTTTTAATTTGCATTTCCCTGGTGATTGGTGATGTTGAGCATTTTTCATATATTTGTTGACTGTATATCTTCTTTTGAGAAATATCTGTTCAGGTTATTTTCCCACTTTTTAATGGGAGTACTTGTGGTTTTTCTGCTGATTTGTTTGAATTCCTTGTAAATTCTATATATTAGTCCTTTGTTGGATGTATAGTGTGCAAATATTTTCTCCCATTCTGTTGGTTGTCTGTTTACTGTGTTGATTATTATTTTTGCCCTAAAATCCTCTGTGCTTTAGCTATTTACTTCTCCTTCCCCCATCTCCTGGCAAACACTGGTTTTTTACCATCTCCATAGTTTTGCCTTTTCCAGAATGTTGTATAGTTGGAGTTATACAATATGGAACCATTCAGGTCGGGCTTTTTTCACTTAATGTGCGTTTAAAGTTTTAAAATGTATTTTCAAGACCTGATAGATCGTTTCTTTTTAGCACTAAATAATATCCCATTCTCTACATTTAACACAGTTTACTTATTAATTACTGAAGGACATCTTGATTGCTTTCAAGTTTTAGTAATTATGAGTACAGCTGCTATAAACATCCAATTGTAGGTTTTTATGTGGAAATAAAGTTTCAACTTGTTTGAGTAAATACCAACAAGTACAATAGTTAAATTGTATGGTAAAAGCATGTTTAGTTTTGTAAGAAACTGCCAAACTGTCTTCCAAAGTGGTCGTACCATTTTGCATTCCCATCGGCAATGATGAGAGTTCTTGCTTCACATCCTTGCCAGCATTTGTTGTTGTCAGTGTTTTGGATTATTGCCATTCTTTTTCCTTAATTGAGTTTTTTATTATTATTTTAAATTGACAAATAATAATTGTGTGTATTTATGGGGCATAATGTAGTATTTTGATCTATGTATACATTATAGAAATAGTTGATCTAGCTATTAACATATTCATTACCAACTTATTTTTTTGTGGTAAGAACATAAACAATATTTTAGTGATTTTGAAGCATATATTATTTATTAACCATGTTCACCATACAATGCATTAGATCACTAAAAGTTGTTCCTCCAGTCTAACTGAAACTCTGTACCCTTTGATCAATGTCTTCCCATTCCCCATCCCTCTTCCTCCTTCAAACCTCTCCACCCCACAACCTCTGATAACCATCTTTCTACTCCCTGTTTCTATGAGAACAACATTTTTAGATTTCACATGTAAGTGAGATCATATAGTGTTTGTCTTTCTGTGCCTCTTATTTTGCTTAGCATAATGTCTTCCAGTTCTATCCATGTTATGGTGAATGACAGAGTTTCCTTCTTTTTAAAAGCTGTATAGTATTCATTTGTGTATATTCACCACATTTTCTTCATGTATCCATTTGTTGATGGACACTTAGGTTATTTTATATCTTGGCTATTGTGAATAATGCTGAAATGAATATGGGAGTTGAAATGAATAATTTCAATTCCTTTGGATATGTACCCAGAAATGGGATTGCTGGATCATGTGGTAATTCTGTTTTTAGGTTTTGAGGAACCTCCATACTGTTTTCTAGAATGGCTGTACTAACATTCATACCAACAGTGTGCAGATGTTCCCTTTTCTCCACATCCTTGCCAACACTTGTTTCCTTTGTCTTTTTGATAATAGCTATTCTAACAGAATATCTAACAGAATAGTGTGAGATGATATCTCATTGTGGTTTTATTTTGCATTTCCCTAATAATTAGTGATATTGAGCATTTTTTCACAAACCTGTAGGCCATTTGTATGTCTTCTTTTGAGAATGTCTGTTCAGATCCTTCACACATTTTTTAATTGGATAGTTTGTTTTCTTGCTTGAATTGAGTTCCCTATGTAATTTGGGTATAAACCCCTTAACCCCTTAACAGATGTAGGGTTTGCAAATATTTTCTCCCCTTCTGTGGGTTGTTTCTCCCCTGTTGATTGTTTCCCTTGCTGTATAGAAGCTTTTTAGTTTCATATAATCCCATTTTCCATTTTTGCTTTTGTTGCCTGTGCTTATAGAGTCTTATCCAACAAATCATTCCCCAGACCAATGTGGTAGAGCTTTTCCCCCATCTTCTTGTAACTTTACAGTTTTAGGTCTTGTGTTTAAATATTTAATGCATTTTAAATTTATTTTTGTATATGGTGTGAGATGATGTCCCAATTTCATTTTTCTTCAGGGGATATCCAGTTTTCCCAATGCCATTTATTGAAGAGACTGTTCTTTCCCCATTGTATGTACTTGGCACCTTTGTTGAAAATCAGCTGAATGTAAATATTTGGAAAATTTCTAGGCTTTCTATCCTGTCCTATTGGTTGGTGTGTCTGTTTTTATGCCAGTAACATTCTGTTTTGATTACTATAGCTTTATAATTGTTTTGAAATTAGGAAGTGTGATGCCTCCAACTTTGTTCTTTTTGCTTAAAATTCCTTTGGCTGTATGGGGTGTTTTCTGGTTCCATATGAATTTTGGAATTTTTTGATTTCTGTGAAAAATGACATTGGAATTTTGAGAGAAATTGCATTGAATCTGTGAACAGCATTGGATAGTATGGACATTTAAACAATATTAATTTTTTGAATCCATGAACTTGGGCTATTTTCTCATTTATTTGTGTCTTCTTCAGTTTCTTTTATCAAAGTTTTATAGTTTTTTTTGTTAAAATTTCATCATTCTAACAGGTCTATAATGGTGTTTCCTTTTAATTTGCAGTTCCCTAATCCCATTATAATTTTGGGCTTCTTTTCATGTCATTATTTACCATGTTTGTGTACATCTTCTTTGGTGAGGTATCTGTTCAAGTCTTTAGCTCATTTTAAAATTGAGTTCTTTTTTATTATGTTTTAAGAGTTCTTTGTGTATTTTGGATAACAGTTATTTATCAGATATGTCTTTTGAAAACATTTTCTCCCAGTCTGTGACTTCTCCTTCCATTGTCTTGATATGGTGTCTTTCACAGAGCAGAAGCTTTTAATTTAAATGAAGTTTAACTTACTGATTATTTTTTTCATGGATCATGGCTTTGGTTTGTATCTAAAATCGAGTTAATTTTTATAATAAAAATACTACTTTGCAAAGAGTATGATAAACTTTTGTACCTTGCTTGGCAAAGAGTATGATAATCTTTTGTACCTTGATACCTTAAGAGCTAGATCCAGGCCGGGAGAGGTAGCTCATGCCTGTAGTCCTAGCACATTGGGAGGCTGAGGTGGGAGGACTGCTTGAGCTCAGAAGTTTGAGACCAGCCTTGGCAATGTAGAGAGACCTCATCTCTACAAATAATAAAAAAATTAGCCAGGCGTGATGGTGCATGTCTGTGGTCTCAGCTTCTCAGGAGGCTGAGGTGGGAGAATTGCTTGAGCCTGGGAGGTCAAGGCAGCAGTGAGCCATGATTGCACTACTGCACTCCACCCTAGGCAACAAAAAGAGACGCTGTCTCAAAAAAAGAAAAATTGCTAGATTAAATAACTGTTAGATATATTAATACATGATGTTCATTTTATAGCTGTATAGTGCACTATGGAAAATTGGAGTTATTTAGAGTATGTACTGAATCTGGAAAAATAATACACTAGTGAGTAAAACCTTTTTCATCAAAATTCTCTTCGGTAGCACTATTTGAGAAAGAATATCGATCTAAAATGAATGATTTGACCCAGAATTTCATATTTAATATGTATGTGCAAAGATGACATGCTTGATTGTAGCTCTTATATTCCCCAGGCAGAGGAAAATATTGACTTCTTAGATGATGGCTCTAATTCTTTTGCAACTGGCTTGCCATCAGGAACTATTAACCACAAGAAATACATCAAGTTTTCTAAAACAATAGAGAAGAAAATTTCACCGGAAGTTAGGAGTTTGAGCCCAGAATATAAAAAAATGTAAGTTAAAAACTCTGAACTTACTTTATTGAATTATTCTTTTGCAAGTTAAGAGTGCCAAAACGTAGCTTATGTGTTCTCATAATGTACTGTGTGTATAGGATTATACATATTTGTGGTCATTCTTTCAGTAGCATAATTTTAACTCCTAAATAGCTGTTCTTACATTTTTTCTGACTTCTCTCGCAACCATGTGGAAGTCTATAGGCTTCCATGTTGTCTAAGTCGGTTCTCACATTGTTTTAAAGAACTACTTGAGACTAGGTAATTTATAAAGAAAAGAGGTTTAATTGCTCATGGTTCTGCAGACATTACAGGAAGCAAGGCTGGGGAAGCCTCAGGAAACTTAGAGTCATGGTGGAAGGGGACGGGGGAGCAAGCACACCTTCACAAGGCCAGCAGGAGAGAGAATGAAGGGGGAAGTGCCACATACTTTTAAACAAACAGATTTCATGAGAACTCACTCAGTATCATGAGAACAGCAAGTGGGAAATCTGCCTCCATGATCCAGTCACTTCCTACCAGGTCTCTCCCCCAACATTGGGGATTACAATTCAACTTGAGATTTGGGTAGGGACACAGAGTCAAACTGTATCACATGTGGAAGCCTATAAGGAAGCTATAAGCTAACTGGAATCATAGGATTCTAGTTAGAGGAGAACAATTATCCATATGTCTGTTAAGTTTGTCTTAAAGAGAATTTAAGAAGGAAACAGAAAGTTCTTTCCTCTTGGCTTGACTTTGTGCCTTCCATGAAATTAAAATATTTGAATCTTTTTTTTTTTTTTTAGATAGCGTCTCACTCTGTCACCCAGGCTGGAGTGCAGTGGTGCAACCATGGCTCACTGCAACCTTCACCTCCTGGGTTCAAGTGATTCTTCTGCCTCAGCCTCCTGAATAGCTGGGACTACAGGTGCACGCCATCACACTCGGCCTTTTTTTTTTTTTTTGAGATGGAATCTCACTCTGTTGCCCAGGCTGGAGTGCAGTGGCATGATCTTGGCTCACCGAAAGCTCCACCTCCCGGGTTCAAGCCATTCTCCTGCCTCAGCCTCCCGAGTAGCTGGGATTACAGGCGATCACTACCATGTGTGGCTAATTTTTTGTATTTTTAGTAGAGACGGGTTTTCCCTGTATTAGCCATGATGGTCTCGATCTCCTGACCTTGTGATCCGCCTACCTCGGCCTCCCAAAGTGCTGGGATTACAGGCATTGAGCCACTGCGCCTGGCCAAGCTATTTGAATCTTTTAGCAGTTCTTTCTTGTATGCTGCATTGCCTGGTTGCCTTTTGTTAGTTATAGAAGTTCTAGCATTTTATATGCATGTAGGAGAAATGCTCAATCTGTATTTATTATTATTTATAAAATGACTGAAAAATAAAAAAAGTACAAAAGCCTCTGGGAAAACATTCAGAGCTTATGTCACTTTATCTTTAACTAAATGCTCATCTTACCTGTTGGTGAAACTGGAAATTACCTACACATTATGATTGGAGAGGCACCTAAATAAAAATCTCCTCTACCTTCCAGAAATCTGTATTTCACTTTTATTTAATCTAACGTTTTCACCACTACTTCTGTTTGGTAGATGGTAAAAGATGAAGCAATTATTTCTAGAAGACTACGATAAAACTTGTTACCTAGGAAGAAAAGGAAGGTCATGGAAGCATCCCTTTATCTTCTTCCATTAGCATTGTTCAAGATAGGTTAGCACTGTGGAAAGCACATGCCTCAAAAGAATGGGGTACAGTGCATGTTTTCCCTTGTAAGTGCGAGCGAAACAATGGGTACACATGGACATACAGAGTAGAATAATAGACATTGGGACTACAAAAGGGAGGAGGGGTGAGGGTTGAATTTTGTGCTGGGTACACTGAAAGCCTAAACTCACCACAATGCCTATGTGCATGTGAGAAATCTGCACTTGCGCCCTCTAAATATATAAAAATAAAAAAAAATTAAAAATGGGGTACGGGACAAATGTTTTTACTTATTCATTAGGTATACCAAATCATCCTTATTCTATGAAATGTGTGAAGCAGCTCATAATTAAAAAATACACTTATACTTTTGTTTACCTAAATAAGGAAACTGAGGCAAAATTAATATAAGTAGAGAGTTTGTTTGGGTCCAGGTTGAGGACTGCAGCCTGGGAAACACTTGGGAGGTACTCTGGAGAACAAAGGAGAGGTTCAAGTTTTTAAGAAAAAAGGTACCAATCAGGAGATGGGTTGATTACAAAAGTTGTTTTTCAGGAATTCTCACTGGTTTACAGAAATAACATTGATTAGTGATTGGCTATACAGTGCTGAACTGTAATGTATGAATTATGGTATCCAGTGTATGGCATTGTTAGGTTAATTTGTGGCTACTTGGTGACAGTCTAGAGTCCACATAGCAGGCAACTTTGAAATAATTGCTTAGCTCAAGGGGATGTGAGACAGTGACTGCTATCTCATTTTAATGCCTCTTTGGGCCTGATAATTTAAAGAGGCCTTACATTCATCAGATTAAAATTTTATTTTCTTTATCATTTTTTGAAAAAAGGTGAAAGATCAAAAGTCATGTAATGGAGTGGAAGTCATGATTATACTAGAAATAAGAAGGCTCAACTTCAATAAGGATATATGGGGTATATAAAGCACCAGTAAACTGCAAGTTGCAATTCATTAATGGGTCATGAAATCAGTTTAGGAGGTCACTACTAGTTTTTTTTTTTTTTTTTTCTTTTTTGAGGAAGGAGTTTACTCTGTCACCCTGACTGGAGTGCAGTGGCATGATCATAGCTCATCACAGCCTGGACCTCCTGGGCTTAAGGGATTCTCCTGCCTCAGACTCCTGAGTAGCTAGGATTACAGGTGTGCACCACCACGCCTGGCTAATTTTTAAATTTTTTGGAGAGGTGGGGTCTCACTATATTGCCCAGGCTGGTCTTGAACTCCTGGCCTGAAGCAGTCCTCCCAGTTTGGCCTCCCAAAGTGCTGGGATTACAGGTGAGAGCCACTGCAGCTGGTTTACTACTAGTTTTTTTTTTTTTTCCAATAAATAAGTTAGAATAGAATTGAAAACATTAGAGTGCTTTTCCCTCCTCCTCTCTCTCCCTTGCTTTCTACTGCACCTCTTCTCTCTGTGTATGTATATTGTACCTCAATAGAAAATGTACTTTTGACTGTAGGTCATAGGCAAAATAGTTGAAAGTCCTTGCTTTGAGACTAGAGGACTGCAGAGGGATCTAATCATTTGGCAGCTTCAGGGAAGTGAAGAGCAAAGTATGGAGGTTCACAGGGTATGAATTTGGGAGATTGGATTTAAAGGGATAGTGTGTCAAAAAAGCAAGATACTTTTTCTTGGAGAAATAAGTCAGAAAAAAAGGAGCAGGGTATGCCGTAAATACATATAATTTTATTTGTCAATTAAAAAATAAATTTAAGAAACAGAATAAATACATGTAATTTTATCTATCAACTTAAAATAAATAAATAAAATTGGAAAAAAAGGCCAAGGTACTTGCTAAGAAAGGGGAGTGGCATGAATTATAATTTTTTTTTTTATGTCACAATTTTGCTTAGGGCTGAGTTCACCTGAAGCTCTCATAGATATAGTCTAGTTAGTCTCTGTCCTGAGGAGTTGTTCTTGAAATTTAAGTCTACCCTGGATTACTTGAAGCACACATAAGAGTATGTGTCTTCTCTTCTAAAATTTAATTCAAATGTAATTCATAATTACATTTTATCTTATTGTTGTATAGTTTATGGCAGTGGTCTCCAGCCTTTTTGGCACTAGGGACTGGTTTCATGGAAGCTATTTTTTTCCACAGACAAGGGGATGGGGAGGAGGCAGGGGTGGTTTCTGGATGAAACTGTTCTACCTCAGAAGATCATCAGGCATTAGATTCTCATAAGGAGGCACAACCTAGATCGCTTGCATGCACAGTTCACAATAGGGTTTGTGCCCCTATGAGAACCTAATGCTGCCGCTAATCTGACAGGAGGTGGAGCTCAGGTAGTAATGCTTCCTCTCCAGCCACTTACCTCCTACTGTGTGGACCAGTTTTGGTTCACGGCCCAGAGGTTGGGGAACCCTGGTTTATGGAATGTTTGTGTTATGAAAGGTCTTGAGATCGCACCACTGTGCTTTTAGCCTGGGTGACAGAGCAAGACTCTGTCTCAAAAAAAAAAAAAAAAATTTTGACAGTCCAATAAGAGGAAAAAGGAGAAAGAAGAGAAACAATAAGAAAGAAGAATGTTGATTAAAAAGAAGTTCAGCTTCTAATGCCCAAACTTTAGTCTTGAAATACCATTTCTTATTAAAAGGCTCTTTAGAAAAATGCTGATTGCATGTCTGTGAAAGGAAATGTACAGTAAGCCTGGAACATCTTGTCTTCCGGAGATAAGGAAACTATTAATAAAAAAGACTGCTACCAGGGCATCATCAGAAGGACTCAAGAGCCTACTTGAAGAGGCTCCCACCTTTTCCTATAAAAGATGAGAAAATTGGAGCATCAATAAGTATAATAATTTCAGGGAATTAAACTGCATCAAATACATTTAAGTCTATGTGTTCAAAATGGTATAAAATTATTTTCTCATTTTTAGAGGTTACAAGTGAGCCAAGTCTTTGTTATGAAAAGTGGTAAATAAAGGAAAACAATAGAGCAATTATCTTGCCTTTCTTTCTTCTTTTTTTAAATCAGTTGAATCTCTCTATATCTTGCCATTCTATATGAAACTGTACCACTGGGCAACCAAATAGTACATGAGAGAAAGTTTCTATTTGTAGAAGTATTCTAGTAGCCAGGCATGGTGGTGTGTGCTTATAGTTCAGTACTCAGGAGGCTGAGGTGGGACAATCACTTGAGCCTGGGAGTTTGAAACTGTAGTGTGTGCTATAATCACACCTGTGGATAGTTACTACACTCCAGTCTGGGCAACTTAGCAAGATCCCATCTCTACACACAGAAAAAAGAAATATTCTAACTAATGATTGAAGGAATGATGGATTTATAATATAACCACTTTGCAGTCTCTCATGATTTATTATTTTTATTTTTATTTATTTATTTTTGAGACAGAGTCTTGCCCTGTCACCTAGGCTGGAGTGCAGTGGTGCAATCTTGGCTCACAACCTCTGCCTCCCAGGTTCAAGCAATTCTCCTGCCTCAGCCTCCTGAGTAGCTGGAACTACAGCCATGCACCACCACACCTGGCTAATTTTTGTATTATTATTATTATTTTTTTTGTAGAGACAGGGTTTCACCATATTGTCCAGGCTAGTCTTGAACTCCTGACCTCAGGTGATTTGCCCACCTTGGCTTCCCAAAGTGCTGGGATTACAGGCGTGAGTCACCATGCCCAGCCAGTCCCTCATGATTTACTAGATCTAGTTATTATTTATAAGTAGCTGCTAATACCACAAGTAGCCAACTGGACATTATGTGCTTCCTGATGGAATAACATCACCATCACCACCTAGAGAGTGGTTTTGCATCTCCCTCAACTATTGAACTTTAATATGTTCAAGCGTGTAGAATCCTATAGCCATGGTGATACAATCAGCATAATCCTGACTGTGGAAAATCTACAAGACAAATGACCTAGTAATAATAATTATAATGATAGTAAAAGGTATAGAAGGAGAACTTATAGATGAAAAGAAGTTAAAAAGACATTTCAGTCAACTGTGATGCTGGGATTTTATTGAGTCCTGATGCAAAATGTTAAGAAGTTTTATGAAATTTATGAGACAACTGGAAATGTGAATGCTGCCTGTATATTTGATGGTATTAAGAAATTGTTAATTTTTAGCTGTCATATGGTGTTTTTTGTTTTGTTTTGTTTTGTTTTTGAGATGGAGTCATGCTGTGTCACCCAGGTTGGAGTACAGTGACTCGATCTCAGCTCACTTCCCAGGTTCAAGTGATTCTTGTGCCTCAGCCTCCTGAGTAGCTGGGACTACAGGCGTGTGTCACCATGTCTATTTTTTTTTTTTTTTTTTTTTTGGTATTTTTAGTAGAGATGGGGTTTCATCATGTTGGCTAGGCTGGTCTTGAACTTCTGACCTCAAGAAATCTGTTCAGCTTGGCCTCCCAGAGTGCTGGGATTACAGGTATGCGCCACCACACCCAGCCCAATCTCTACAAAAAAAGACACCTTGTAGAGATTTCTATTAAAATCTTTACAGATGAAATAATATACTGTGATTTCTTTCAAAAATAATAAGGGATGGGAACAGGGATGGGATATAGATGGAATAGGATTGGCCACTGTTGAAACTGGGTGATGGGATTCTGTATATTTTTGTATATGTTAGAAAGTTTCCATAATTAAAATTTGAAAAGAATAAGAAAAAGCAAAAAGAAATTCAAGAGTGATTCCAATTTCTGTGTCATTTAGATTTGAAACGTCAGTATTCCTTTGTGGAGAAGAAAAGTCCTCTGATTTTTCAGTAGGAAAAAAAGGTGGGAGAAAGAGTTTACAAGTACAACAGCACAGTAAAAGAACTGAGGTAAATAAAGATTTGGAAATTTTTCTTTTACCTTCAAGTGTTTTCCTTAGCCCTCAAACATTCCCTTATATTTTTTAGTCCAAGTGTTGAAATGTCACAGTCTTAAATATTACTACCTCCTCTTGCTCCTTGTCTTCTCTTCTTCATTCTCCTTTTCCTTCTTCTTAAAAAAAAAAAAAAAAAAAAAAAAAAAAGAACAAGGAATCTTTCAGGAGCTTATGAAAAATTTGCCTTTTTTTCTATTAAACTTATTTTTTTGTCTTTTTTACTGTGCTCTCTGCTAACATTTTTGCTTTTTTAACAGGAACACTAGGTGTTCTTTTTTTTTTTTTTTTTTTTTGAGACGGAGTCTCGCTCTGTCACCCAGGCTGGAGTGCAGTGGCGCGATATCCGCTCACTGCAAGCTCCACTGCCTCCCGGGTTCACACCATTCTCCTGCCTCAGCCTCCAGAGAAGCTGGGACTACAGGTGCCCACCACCACCCCCGGCTAATTTTTTGTATTTTTAGTAGAGACGGGGTTTCACTGTGTTCGCCAGGATGGTCTCGATCTCCTGACCTCGTGATCTGCCCGCCTTGGCCTCCCAAAGTGCTGGGATTACAGGCGTGAGCCACTGTGCCCGGCCAACCCTAGGTGTTCTTTGGTTTGTGGCAACATAACTCCCATCTCTGCCTCCATCTTCCCATGAGTCTTCACATGGCTTTTTTTTCCTGTGTCTGTATCTCATCTCCTTCTTCCTTTCTCTTACAAGCATGCCTGTCATTGTATATTTCATTTCAAGATCTTAACTTTATTACATCTGCAAAGACATTTTCTCCAAATAAGGTGACATTCACAGTTTCAGATATTAGAACATGGAATATCTTTTTGTGTTGTCGCTCACTATGATATATTTAGAGGTATATTTCCTTTTCTCCCCTCTGTCTTAGTATTTGCTGTGCTTCTTAAATCTGAGAATGCGTGCCTTTCTTCAATTCTGGAAAATTCTAATATATTTATCTTTTAGAATATTTCCCCTCTTTCAATCTCTTTACTGTCCCTTTGTATCTTCTATTAGATGTGTATTAGATTTTGTCATCCGTTCTCTATATTCTTTAACATTGCTTCATATTTTTCATCTATTCTGTCTCTCGATTTTGTTCTTGGTAATTTCTCCCCATCTTCTCTCTAGTTCACTTATTCTTTATCTAGCTGAATCTAATCCACAGTTTAACCTTTCCTTTGGGATTTTAATTTCAGTGATTCTATTTTTTACCTCCAGAAATTTTATTTGATGGTTCTTAAAATATGCCGTGTGTCATGTTTTTTGCTCATATTCTATAGTTATTTCAAGATTGGTATCTGATCAATTCACTATACGAAATTCTTGGGGGATCTAAATGTTGTGTTTGTTGTTTTGTCTGATTCTCACTCATGTTAACTTGTTCTTTGGGTGTTATATATATTTTGTACATTCTTTCATATATAGTTGATCTAAATCTGTGGGAATTTTCAATTTGCCCTTCTTCAAGAGAATTTTTAAAAAGATAATTTGCTTTTGCTTTTTCCTTTGCCATGCGCTTCAGAAGTGTTACAAATCAGAGGTCATTTTAAATGAAGTTTTTGGTTTCTGTTTCCCTGGCCCATATATTTGGTGTAGATTTGACTTCCAAACTCATATATGTAGAGTTATGATTATGACTAATCAGGAGGAATAGTCTTCCTTTTTTTCCAACCTGGAGCTGGGATGGAGACATATTTTAATCATATTTTTTCATTAGGGGATAAGTTTTTTCCTTCCCCACTCTTGCTGAAAACATTGTCTTTTAAAGGTTTTGGTTCTGTGTGGCATCTCAGTACCAATTCCTGTCAATCTTGTGTAACGTGAGAGTCTTTTTTCCACATCTTGCATGGTCATTAAAACTCAGTGCTCAGGGTTCCATGTAAAATTGAAGACACCTATAATTAGAATTCTCATTTTTCTAAAGTGCTACTTTCCTCTCCACCTAGCTGCTTGCCTTTTTGGAATCGTGTTTATACATGCAATCTTAAGTGGATAATTTGCTCAATGATAGAGATAATCAAAAACAAAATTACCTGTGTCATTTGAATAACTGTGTTGATTCTCCACGTTGCACTTAAGTCAAAGCCTTTATATATAGCCTAGAGTCTGATGACTGAGTCTTCTTGTTCTCTCTATACCATAGGTTTTCCCTGCTTTGTAAAATCCATTACTATATATTGACCAACTATTAATGACATGATTAAGTGCATACTTAAGAAAACCATGGCTTTGCAAAAGAACATTGTATAGTTTATTTAAATTTTACTTTATATTAAATGTAATTTAATTACAAAAGGCAATTTTACACCAGAAGCATAATTAATGAGGAGCCAAGGTATGATTAATTATCTTTTAAGAGTTTTATCATCCAAGAATGCTGAATTACCAGTGTGACCTCAGGCACTAACATACTTGCATTTGGCTCTAGATTATCCCTCCTTTTCTGAAGCTGTCAAAGGAGAAGGTGACTAGGAAAGAAAACTCTTTATGCAAGTTGCCGAATCAGTACAGCCTTCACAAGACTTCATCACCTCTTTGTACATCTTCCTCAATTACTCGGTATTTAAATCCTTGTACTCTGTTTCTTGAAGGTTGGGTTCAGACTTGAGTGTTTCTTTCCAGAATCATTTATCCCTTCCACATAAAGAATATCAAGTAGTTTATGCTAACTATGCTCTTAGGATTGTGTAGAGATAAGAGCACTGTATATGGAATTGGAAGACTTAGATTTGAGTCCTGATTGACCTCACATGCTTAGACTTTTGTAAAATTTACATCTCTGGGCATCACTTTCCACATCTGTATAAGGATCTTGTACTAAATGGACTCTTAAGATGTCTTCCAACACTAACATTATATGATTTCAGTTATTTACATGTTACAGTATTAGATAAATCATCTTTTCCAGACATTTTACTGATAAGTGATGGAATCTGAGATTCTTTGGCTGTTTAAAGATGTTCTTGTTTGCTTTATTATAATAACTTCCTTAAAAATTTGCTGTGACTCGTATTGAGAATAGGAAAAATTGGACCACAGTCAAAGGATAGTGGGTCATGGGCACTATTTACAGACTAGGGTAAATTCTGCTTTATAGAAAAATATCTCAAAAAGAAATAAGGTGGGACTTCTGACGTGAAGAATACGGAATTTTCCTTAACTTGGACAGTTCTTCAAGAAAGGTGCTTATGAATCTCAGACTATTGGTAGGTTTGCTAATATTTTAAAATGGAATTTGCATATTTTCATTGCCACTTTCTAATATGACTGTTTCTTTGACAGGGAAAAGGAAATGCTATCTAACCTCTACATGACATTATATGATGAAGTAACCCATGGATATTTATACTCACAAGAATTAAGTGGTAATAAGAGGTTCTAAAATTTCTTGAATACATTTCCTTATTATGTGCTTTTTAGGAATTGTTTCAGCAGTTAGTGCCTCTTCATCTAATTCTAATGGCTTATGGTATCAACTAATAATACATGATATGCAAATGCTGCGGGCTGTAAGGAAGCAAAAGTGGATAGTTTAATCCATAAATATCTTTGGTTGTATTGGTTAAGATAGGTAAAATATAATATGTAGCTTATACTAGTTCAAGTGTATTTTTTGGAAAAATGTCTGCATATTACATCCCATGGATAAATTAGTAAGTGCTGGAGTCACTGGTATCACTGGAATTTATTCTTTGGTATCTTAAGGCTTATACTACCCTTCACGCTTTCATGACACTGACCTCTCCCATATCTTGGGCTTCTCGTTTATACCTGTGGAATAATTTCTCATAGTTTTCCTTTTACCTTAACTCTGGTTGTCATATTGTGTATCTTAGTGTCCAAATGGGTGACTCATACTGCTGTAGCTTCACACTTTCAAAACCAATTATTTTACCTTGATTCCCCTGACCAACACTGATGGCCACAAATTGCACATTGTCATTATGTGAAAATCTCAGACTTTAATGTCTTATTCTTCACTCACAATCTCTTATGCTTCCAGCTCTTTTTATTTAGAATTTTATTTCCTTGACCTCTCCATTTGGTGCCACTATGATTGTACGATTTCCAACCTCAGCTGCCCTTAGCACCAGTTGGTATTCACTTTAAGTTTTGGTGTGATCTCTCCTGTTTCCTTTGGTCCCTATTCCAAACCTTCACTACTCTCCTCAATACTCAATTATGTCACCTATCCAACTTTAAACACTTAAAAATGTTTTACTTAATTAAAGTTAAAACTTGCTAGTCTGAAATCTATGAAACTTAATCTTTTCTGCCCTGTTTCTTTTGAAAAAAATTTTATTTTGGTAAGAATATTTAACATGAGATCTACCCTCTTAACAGATTGTAAAAATGTAGGTTATTCTTATCTATAGGCATAATATTGTACAGTATTTCTACAGAACTTATTCATCTTATGTAACTGAAATTTTGTACTCACCCATTAGCAGCTCACTATTTCCTCATACCCCCTGTTCCTGGCAACTGCAATTCTATTCTTTGTTCCATAAGTTTGACTATTTTCGATGCTTTATATAATTGGAATTCTGTAGTATTTGTCCTTCTTTAACTGGCTTATTTCACTTAGCATAATGTCCTTCAGATTCATTCATGTTATTACATATGACAGGATTTTCTTCTTTTTAAAGGCTGAATGATATTCTATTATATGTATATAACATACTTTTTCCCCCCTTATTTATCTGACATTTAGGTTGTTTCCACAGATATTTAGATTGTTTTCCATAGGCTGGCTATTGTGAATAGTACTGCAGTGAACAGGGGAGTACTACTGTCTCTTCAAAATCCTGATTTTAATTCTTTTGGCTAAATATCCAGAAGTGGGATTATTGGATCATGTGGCTTTGCTTTTTCGTAGAGAGTTAGTAAAGGCTATTGGGAAGCTTCCTAAACTCCTTGATATTCCTACCTACAAACAACATTCATGTCCTTTCATCTTGTCTCATTGGAAAAGGTGCCCTTTCACCAGACTAATCCTTTTGTTTCTTGATTTTCTTCTGCTTTCTCAAGGTCTATGCTTTGCTAATTTTATACTCAGTGCTTTTCAGAAAAGCTTTTTGAAGGAGTTGTTTTCATTAGTTGCTGAATTTTCTCACTTCCCATTTCATGGAAATCTGGCTTCCACCTCCAAAATTCTACTAAAACTTATTAAAGTCATTATTATCAACTCTTTAGTCATTATTTTGTGTTTATCACTGTCAGGGCTGGGTGAGGTGGCTCATGCCTGTATTCCCCGCAATTCGGAAGGCCAATGTGGGAGGATCATTTGAGACCAGGAGTTCAAGACCAGCCTGAGCAATATAGTGAGATTCCATCTCTACAAAAAATCATAAAAACAAAAAATTAGTTGGGCATGTTGGCACACAGCTGTAGTCCTAGCTACTGGAGAGGCTGAGGTGGGAGGATTGTTTAAGCCCAGGATTTCGAGACAGGAGTTTGAGACTGCAGTGAGCCATGATTGCACTACTGCATTCCAGCCTGGGCAGCAGGGAAACTCTGGCTCTAAAAAGACAAACAAAAACATCACTATCATCGATTGCCTCTTTTCTGAAAATAAAGTATAGTATCCACTGAACCAAAAAATTCAGTTCAATAGACTTTTTTTGAGAATTTCTTCTTAATTAGGCACTGGAAACAGAAGAATGAAAAATCTTGCTTTGTAGAAGCTGACAGTTTAGTGAGGGATATTGACATGCAAGCAATCATAATACCAAGGGCTTTGACTGAGATACATAGTAAGTGCTATGGGAACACAGAGGAAAAATTTACTATTCCCAGGGCAAGTTGTGGAAGCCTTTGCCTGTGTGCCCTTGTGCGACTTTTCTGACAGTTTCTGAAAGTTCTTTAGGAAACAGATTGAAAGATTTGAATATTTAAAGATTGAAGAGGGTGGGGTAAAAAAGAAAGAAGTTTGAAAGGCTGAAAATACAGATTTGCTCCCCTTTCTTTTAGTGATTATTATTTTTTTGAAAGATAGTTGGGGGAATAAGGATAATTATTCTTTTTGATTAATTAACTAACTGTTTTGTTATGTCTGTGCAGCACTTCATAAAGCCTGTAAAATTTTTAGTAAAATTCGAAGTGGTAAGATTTATGTGAATGATCTTCCAGTGATCCTCGGCATCTTGAGAATTTCTATAAGTGATTTAGAAATGCGACAGGCACTAAAGACTATTGATATTGATGGTAAGTTTTATCTTTTCAGTATTAGTTTAAGGGTCTGCAATCATAAATATGTTTGTCAGATTAATTACAAATGATAAGAAAGCTAAACCTTGAAATATATTATAAAAACATCATTTTTGGTCATATTATATATTATGAAACATTTTTATATGTTACAAAAACATTGCTTACAATAATGATATTGAAAATTGGCCTCAGGTTTATGTAATTGGATTGATTAATTACTAGACTGGATTATGACATATTCTCATTATTGTTCCACGCATGGTCTAATCTTATTTAGTTATGTAATTTAAATAATATAATAAGTACTTGACCTAACCACCCAAAATAAAAAGTAGGACCTTGTCAATAATTTACATCTAACCGTAAACTTTACTAAGCAACCTATTATTCTGTTTTCCCCAACCTGAGGTAAGAATTATCTTGAATCCTATATTCATTATTCTCTTATTTTTCTGTTCAAATAGTATTATTGTTATGGATAGGTATTTTTGTAAAATAGTTCAAAAATTTTAGTTGTTTAAAAAACTTTAGTAAAAAGTTTTTCATGCTGTATATAATCTTTTGTTTTCTTAATATTATATGACTAAGATTTATTCATATTGTTGTAAATGTGACTAAGATTTATTCATATTGTTGTATACTGCTTTTTTTTTAATGCTCCTGCCATCCTTGAATTGATCAGCCTTTAAAAATTATGGTTGTTCTAATAGATATACGGTTATTATCTGATTGTGGTTTTAATTTGCATTTCCTGAATGATTAAATAATGTTGAATATCTTTTCATGTGCTCGTTTGCCATTTGTATATTTTTTGCCCATTGAAAAATTGTGTTCTTATTATTGTATTTTGAGATTATTTATATATTCTGAATATAAGTCTTTTACTGGATATGTGATTCGTAGATATTTTATTCCATTCTGTGGCTTGACTTTTTATTCTCTTAAGAATGTTTTTAGAAAAGGAAAAGTTCATACTTTTGATGAAGTCCAGTCTACAATTTTTCTTTTATGAATTGCTTTTGATATCTTATCTGAAAGATCTTTGCCAACCCAAAGTCACAACAATATCAGAAAACAAGTCAAAGTAGTTCATTAAAATTTGGACAGATGTTTCACTGTTTTTGAAAGAAAGGAGAACCCACCCTCAAGTTGTTACACTGAAGAAGTGGAGAGAGACAACTTGACAGACTTTTCAGTGCTGGAGAAAGTGCTTCTGTGGTACGGAAGTGAGAACAACCAAGCCTTGTCATTTCCTCTGCAGACGATTGGAAGCCCTTAAGTATTCCTCTGTAGGCTATTTCTGCTCAGATGACATTAAATTGAAATATAGATTTATACTTGTTTTCTTCATAACATAGATAACATCACTGATGTAAATAAACCCTGTCAAAGTTGGGCTCATTTGCTTCATGACAGGAGAAAATGAATTCATAGTTATTTAACTTGAAGACTCTTGAAGAACTACAAATATAAAAATTAGTCGAGCAAAGAGCACTGCTGTATCTACAGTACTAGTCCCATAGCATTCTTATTACTGCTGGAACACTATTTACTACCTAATTATAATATGTAAATTTTTTTCTGGTAAATATTCTTTTTACATTCTATATATGTCTACTGCTCTGTGTATAGATAATAGTATTCTAATGTCATTAGTTAATTCTATTTACATTTTTAGTTGCCATTTTTATCTTATGTTCTTAGGGAGTTTGCTAATAATGTTTGCTGATGGAGTTTTTTTTTTCCCTTCTGTTTTGGAATCATTTTTATAGTTAATGGAATGCTGGATTTTTCAAATTTCCTTAAAGCTGTGGCTGATGTTTCTTATATGGTCTCTCACAATCCAGGTAAAAAAGACTTCTTCAAAAGTATAGAAGATAATAATTTTGTAACTGATTTTGGGGTTGGGAGGGGTGGTATTTAATATATGAATTAATTTATATTTTACAGAATCTCCCACTAGCGTAGGCTGAGAAAAATTAGATATGAATTTTGTCATAAAAGTCATTACAAAACCTGGCTCAAACTGCCCCAGTATTCTAACATTCTATCTCTAATCTCTAGTTTTTCCTGCACATTAACTGCTAGACTAATTCTCTTAAAATACTATTTTCACCATGTCATCTTCCTCCTCAAGAATTTGGATGCTCTTCCTATTATCAAATGAGTCTAGGCCAAACTCTCATGTTTAGCCTCTTCATCCCTTCATAATTTTGTTCACCACTCTTCCCTTTATCACAGTACCTTTCCCAGGCAAGAACCCCATACTCCGATTAGTCATAAATCTTCATACATGCCAAAATAATTCTTACTCCCATGACTTTGTTTGTGTGCGTGTTTTTTTTTTCTGTTGAAATCTCACATCTGTTTTCTTCTTCATCCTTAACAGCGCTTTCTTCTTTTTGCCAGAAATCTGTTTGTATCTATTCCTAAAAATTTTAGATACTTATGGGTCTCTTAATAACCTTTAGTTTACATTACTTATACATTATAAATAAAGTGGTTGGAAAGGGTATTCGTATTAATGGTAGAAACAGTACCTCCAAAAACACGAAATCTGTGGTGTTCATGACCTGATGTTAGCAATTCTTCTATTTCTCCATTAGGTGATATCAAGTTCTTATGCTTGGTCCTTGGAATTATATATTTTTTATTTTTTATTTGTATAAGTTCAAGGGGTGCAAATGCAGTTTCGTTACGTAGATACATTGCATCCTGGTAAAGTCTGGCTTTTAGTGTAACCATTATCTGAATAGTTATACATTGTACTTATTAAGTAATTTTTCATCCTTTACCCCCTTCCCACACTTCCAAGTCTCCAGTAACTATTATTTCATGCTCTATGTCCATGTGTACACATTTGGCTCCCACCTATACATTTGGCTCCTACCTATAAATAGCTTTCATTGTCTCAAGTGAAACAACTCAGAAACAGAAAGATAGATAATAGCTTCATCCATGTTGCTGTAAAATATATTATTTCATTCTTTTTTTATGGCTGACTAGTATTCCACTGTGTGTGTGTGTGTTTGTGTGTGTGTGTGTACCACATTTTCTTTATCCAGTCATCCATTTATGGACACTTAGGTTCATTTTGTATCTTTGCTATTGTGGATTGTGCTGTGATAAACATATGAGTGCAGGCATCTTTCTGAGATAATGGTTTCTTTTCCTTTGGGTGTATATACCTAGTAGTGGAATTGTTGGATCATACAGTAGTTCTATTTTTAGTTCTTTGAGAAATCTCCACACTACTTTCCATTTTTTCATAATACTCATTTGGCCATTTGTATGTCTTCTTTTGAAAAATGTCTATTCATGTCATTTGCCCACTTTTTAACGGGATTATTTGTTGTTTTTGTTGTCATTGATCTGTTTGAGTTCTTTGTAAATTCTGGATATCAGTCCCTTGTTGGATGCACAGTTTGCAAATATTTTCTCCTATTCTTCAAGTTGTCTGTTCATTCTGTTGATTATTTCTTTTGCTGTGCAGAAGCTTTTTAGTTTAGTTGTCTCATTTGCCTTTTTTTGTTGTTGTTGCTTGTGCTTTCGAATTCTTAGTCATGAATTCTTTGCCTAGACCAATGTCAGTAAGAGTTTTCCTTAGGTTTTCATCTAGTATTCTTTTTTTTTTTTTTTTTTTCCAGATGGACTGTCGCTCTGTCGCCTAGGCTGGAGTGCAGTGGCCTGATCTTGGCTCACTGCAAGCTCCACCTCCTGGGTTCACACCATTCTCTTGCCTCAGCTTCCCGAGTAGCTGGGACAACAGGCGCCCGCCACCACGCCTGGCTAATTTTTTTATATTTTTAGTAGAGACGGGGTTTCACCGTGTAAGCCAGGATGGTCTGATCTCCTGACCTTATGACCCGCCTGCCTCAGCCTCCCAAAGTGCTGGGATTACAGGCGTGAGCCACTGCGCCCAGCCTCATCTAGTATTCTTAAAGGTTTGAGTATTACATTTAAGTTTAGATCCATCTTGAGTTGATTTTGTATATGGTGGGAGATAGGGGTCTAGTTTCATTCTTTTGTGAATGGCAGTCCAATTTTCCCTTTACCATTTATTGAAAAGAGTGTCCTTTCACCAGTGTATGTTTTTGTCAACTTTGTCAAAGATCAAGTGGTTATAGATATGAAACTTCATTTCTGAATTCTCTTTTCTGTTCCACCAATTTATGTGTCTACTTTTATAGCAGTACCATGCTGTTTTGGTTACTGTTACGGTATAATTTGATATATTACCATATAATGTGATGTCTCCAGCTTTGTTCTTTTGCTTAGGATTACTTTGGCTATTTGGGCTCCTTTAGTTCCACGTAAAATTTAAGATTATTTTTTCTATTTCGTGAAAAATGACATTGGTATTTTGATAGAGATTGCACTGAATCTGTAGATTGCTTTGGGCAGTATGGTCATTTTAACGATATTAATTTTCTGATCCATGAGCATGGGATGTTTTCCCATTTGTTTGTGTTCTCTATAGTTTATTTCATCACTGTTTTGTAGTTTTCCTTGTAGAGATCTTTCACCTCTTTGGTTAAATGTATTCCTAGGTACTTTGGTTTTTGTAGCTAAGCTAAATGGTATTGCCTTCTTGATTGGTTCTCAGCTTGATACTAGGGTATAGAAATGCCACCGATTTTATCTACTTAAACATTATCAAATTTGTTTATCAAATCTAAGAGGTTTTTTTTTTGGGAGGAGTTTTTAGGGTTTTCTCAGTATAAGATTATATCATCAGCAAACGGACATAATTTGACTTCCTCTTTTCCAACTTGGATGCCTCTTATTTTTTTTTCTCTTGCCTGATTGCTCTGGGTAGGGCTTACAGTAATATATTGAATACAAGTGGTGAATAGTTTTGTTTCAGTTCTTAGGGGGAATGCTTTAAACATTTCCCCATTCAGAAGGATGTTGGCTGTGGGTTTGTCATATATGGCCATTATTATTTTGTGGTATGTTCCTTTTATAGTGAATCAGATGGTTTATTTATGTATGTATGTATTTTTTTTGAGGTGGAGTCTTGCTCTCTCACACAGGCAGGCTGGAGTGCAGTGGCACAATCTCGGCTCACTGCAGCCTCTGCCTCCCAGGTTCAAGGGATTCTCCTGCCTCAGCCTCCCAAGTAACTGGAACTACAGGCGTGCATCACTATGCCTGGCTAAATTTTTGTATTTTTAGTAGAGATGGGGTTTTACCATGTTGGCCAGGCTGGTTTTGAACTCCTGACCTCAAGTGATCTGCCTGCCTTGGCCTCCCAAAGTGTTGGAATTATAGGCGTGAGCCACTGCACCTGGCCCAGATTTTATTTTGTTAGAATCAAGGCTATGTGAATGTGATAGTCTTTATAGTCCTCGAGCAGCAAGTAAAAAGCAATAAAAACTCTTCAATGCTTATTTATTCATTTATGTAATAAACATTAATGCCTATATATGCAGCAGTGAACCATATAGATATGATGATTGGCTTGCTTTTTCTTTTTGACATTTTGATAGACTCCATGGCATTAGGATTTGCCTAGTTCTCTTTTGTCTACTTGGTTTCTGACTTACATTTTTTTCTTGTTTCAGTTTCATTTAGTTCTCTGATCTTGCTTATTTCTTTTCTTCTGCTAGGTTTGGGTTTGGTTTGTTCTTGTTTCTCTAGTTCCTTGAGGTGTGACCTTAGATTGCCTATTTGTGTTCTTTCAGACTTTTTGATGTAGTCATTTTATGCTATTAACTTTTATCTTAATACTGCTTTTGCTGTATCCCAGAGGTTTTGATAGGTTGTGTCACTATTATTGTTCAGTTCAAAGAATTTTTAAATTTCTCTCTTGATTTCATTGTTGACTCAATGATTATTCAGGAGCAGATTATTTAATTTCCCTGCATTTGCATGGTTTTGAGGGTTCCTTTTGGAGTTGATTTCTAGTTTATTTCACTGTAGCAAGAGTACTTGCTGTAATTTTAATTTTCTTAAATTTGTTGAGTCTTGTTTTGTGGCCTACCGTACGGTCTATCTTGGAGGATGTTCCGTGTGCTGATGAATAGAATTCATATTCTGCATTTATTGGGTAGAATGTTCTATAAATTTCTGTTAGATCAATTTTTTTTAGCGTGTAGTTTAAGTCCATTGTTTCTTTGTTGACTTTCTGTCTTGATGACCTGTCTAATGCTGTCAGTGGAGTATTGAAGCCCTCTACTATTGTTGCTGTCTGTCTCATTTCTTAGGTCTAGTAGTAACTGTTTTATAAATTTGGGAGCTCCAATGTTAGGTGCATATATATTTAGGATTATGATATTTTCCTGTTGGACTAGTCCTATTATTATATAATGTCCCTCTTTGCCTTTTTAAACTGCTGTTGCTTTAAGTTTGTTTTATCTGATATAAGAATAGCTACTCCTGCTTGCTTTTGGTGTCCATTTGCATGGAATATCTTTTTCCACCCCTTTACCTTAGGTTTATGTGAGTGAGTCCTTAAGTGTCAGGTGAGTCTCTTGAAGACAGCAGATACTTGGTTGGTGAATTCTTATCCATTCTGCCGTTCTCTATTAAGTGGAGCATTTAGACCATTTACATTCAATGTTAGTACTGAGATGTGAGGTACTATTCAATGTGCTAGTTGTTGACTGAATATCTTGCTTTTTTTTTTTCTTTTTTTTCCTGTGTTGTTGTTTCATAGGTCCTGTGAAATTGATGCTTTAATGAGATTCTATTTTGGTGTATTTTGAGGATTTGTTTCAAGATTTAGAGCTCCTTTTAGCAGTTCTTTTAGCAGTCAGTAGTGCTGGCTTGGTAATGGCAAATTCTCTCAGCATTTATTTGAAAAAAGACTGTATTTTTCCTTCATTTATGAAGCTTAGTTTCA